GAAGAGAGGAGTGGGGGAGGGAGGATGGAAAACAAGAATGGAGAAACGAAAAAAAGGTGGAAGAAAGGAGTAGCAGGAGAAGAAGGTGGAGGGAAAGAGTAGCGTGCGATTCAGGCCAATGGGAAAAATGAGACGCGCTTTGCGTTCGCCCAGAATAAAACCAGTTCGAAATGCATTATGCTATTCGGGGTTTGTGCGCGAGCGCGCGCATACTCTTCTGCCCGTCTATGCCGACGTTTGCAACCGGGGCCATCGGGGAATAAAGCGTCAGGGATAAAGAATGAAAAGAAGAGGGCAGTCCTTGGTTCGGATAGAGGAAGGTTAGAGGTACCAGAGAAACGGGGTTATCCTCTTGCGATTCTACGCGTAAGAATGTGTACCATCATCTCTGCTGCTCGAGCATTCAAATATTATGATGCTCGCCAATCGATGATGTTGTATGACGATCGATAATCTAGTTTGGCGATTTTGCTTTGTATTTTACCCTGGTTCGATGATTAACTCCACTTTGTTCAGAACGTTGTTCCTTTTTGACTAGATCGCATCTCTCAAGCTCTTTCAGCTTACTCTTTTGTACGCATTTCAGTAATTATAAAAACAAACGACTTGACATTCAGCATTTTGACGTCGATTCATCTAAATCAATTATTGTTTGAATCGTAGCTGGAAGGAGAGTTAATATCGATATATTTTTGCTTGATTTTATGTATAATAATTTTGTCCATCTTGATTTTCAAGTATTTCATCCCTCATAGATGCACGGTTCTTGCCGTGTCGATTGTTAATCATTGATACGCGTTATTCTATATTTAAAGAAGTAACGTTGAAATATTCCTCAGTATATGAAGAAACCGACACTCGAAATACACTGTGACGCAAAACAAGATCCTTCAAACGAACGTCGACAAATATCGTTATTCGGCAATCCTTGCTTCCTCTGTAAGAAAAACTTCCACTATTATCGTATAATCTATCTTCAAACAACTGTCGCCATATATCGGGCAACAATTCGTTCGACAATGTTGCCCGGAGTTTCAGTTTCGAGCGATCTGTCGACGGGTTCGCACACCGGACCACGGGCCCGAAAGAAAAACCAGTTTGAAATGCATATTACCGGCGAAATAATACGCGGGCTTGCGCATGCTCGCAAACGTCCGTTCGCCTAGCGCGCAACGGCGAATAAAGAATCACGAATAAAAGGATCAGGAATAATAAAGAGAGAGAGAGAGAG